AGTCTAGGTGTTTTTAGTCACAAGCCCAGTTCCTGTTCCTGCCCAGCTCAGCGAGCGATAATCAGCTCCTTAGGCCACTGTCAATGGGTGCTGGCTATCACTGGCTGCACCCCATAACATTACCTTCCAATGATTACTTAGGAGGTTAGCAGGAAGCTGAATCCTAAGTGAGGCAACTGGGACTTGAACTGGCACTGATAATGGTATAGCTCGTTGAGGTCTGTTTGCTAGAAGCTCTTTGCAAACCTGCAATTACTAGCTCTCTGGCTATCAAAGCAGCACTCTTGCTAGGGTGCACCTGCTTCATCCAGAAGGGGACAACAGTGTGAAATATGGATATCAAACTCCAAATGGAATTTGTGGAGATAATCATGAAATTCCCAAGGGGCCTAAAACATGTAGAGGCGCCCTCCTGCCTGATGAGAAAGGCCAGAGGGGGTGGGGAGCTTGCTGTGTCCTCTGCTGCCAGGGGCTGGAAGTGCTGTTCAGAGGCGGCCTCTCCTGCTCCCCAGCCCACTCTCTCAGGCTCTCTCTGCTCTCGCATGTACACGTTTACGTTCTCACCTTGGGAATGACTCTTACTGCTTTGTGCACCTTATAGGTGTGTGCTCCTGGAAATCTTCTCTTTGTGTGAGACAGGAACCTGCAGTAAGAACACTCTGCTCACGCTCACATTGGCACTGCCAGGCGGGGTGCCAGCCCTGCACCACAACACCGGCCCCAGTGTTACATGATTTTAAACAAGCATGAATTACACCCAGAAAAAAACAAGAAATTGTCCAAAACTGTAGCGGGGATTCTGTACTGAGATTGTTTTGAACTTAACCTTTTCTGTGTTTTTGACACTCTGAGGATCTGGAGGAAAGCTGACCCTGAGGTCCTCTGTGGTTTTACCTGGAATTGACCATTTTTGCTGACATCTCAGTTGTCTCCTTGCTGTCTCATCAGCGGACTGTAGAGGGTCACCCCACTAGGGTCCAGGGAGTCGGTTTCACTTGCTGTCAGCATCAGCCTTTTAACCGCCTGTCACCGCCTGTTTATCCTCGCCTGGTTATTAACGGTTCATCCCCTTCAGATGGAAATGGTTGTTCAGTCTGAACAGTGACATTCACATTCATGCATCTCAAGTGGCCAGAAATGTCTCAGGCTGTATGGCTCTGCGGAGACAAGCCCTTTGTCAGTATCTAATGAATACGGAAAGGAAAACACACACGCCCCAAGGGAGTCAGGGGCTGGCCCAGGATCCTCGGGGCGGGCTGAGTCAGCACTGGCCACCCACACATCCTCATCCGGCTGGCTCCTTCTGGCTCCAAGAGGGACTGTTAATGAGTCTGGGACTGCAGCATGCCCTTGGGTTTAGCTGTCTGTAGGTATTTATAAACAAGCCGCTGTGGGTACAGGTTCTTGCAGGTTCGGCCACTCGCCCTGTAGAAAGATGACAGGCAGTCAGAGTCGTTTGCCAGGGCAAGGCAGCATGGAAAGGAAAGGGCCCTTCCCTTGATAGACTTGCTGCATGCGTCTGAACAGCCAGTCATCTTCCGGAGCACGGTGACCCTGTGAGGACAGAACGGGAACTAGATGGAGGCACACCAAAGAGAGAAAAATGCAAACTAGATTTGCTGATGGGAGAGCAACAGTGTGACTGTTGTCCATTGCCCAAAGGTTAGACTGCCAACGTTGGGGGCCCCATGTGTGTGGTTTGTGGTGCTTTGGCTGGAAACAGTCATCGGGGAATTAGCGTGCCTTTCCCTTGTGAGTGTAGTCATAGAATTACTGTGGAAATTAACTTCCAATCTGGGCAGTGAGTTAGTCCCTAATGCCGGAAGGCTTTTAAGGCTTTCGGCAGAGGACTAGTTTTCTTTCCTTTCCTTTTTTTTCTTGTTTTCATGACATTTTATTGCCTCATTTACCTCTTTGCTACTCCTATTGGTGTAAAGAGTGACACACAGATTCATTGTTTATTATGCTGCATTTAACACTTATGAATTAGCAGTCATTTTTCAGTGCTTTTCTTACAGATGAAAGAAGCATTTTCTAGAAAGGTATTGTGGAGCTAGGATCTGAAGAAGTTAGAAATTACTTCCCAGTGGTGTTCCTCTTATTAGACAAACATGTTCTTGATCTGTCCCTTATTGTAATCTGGGCCGATTAAATTATAACTTGTTTATTCTTGAATTGAAAAAGAAACTTTAAGACCTTGGATCCATTCATGTAGCATAGTGACTGTGGAGATCGTTTTTGGGGGGTGGTGATTAGTCATTTCATTATTACTCTGAGTCATATGTGGATTTGTCAGTGCGGGTGTAGACACGCAGGTCCTGGTTACATGTGAAGCCACTTGGGCGCATGTGTAAGTACTGGTGGATGCAGTCTGATCTCACATACCCCACATTGGTGGCCATAAACATAGTACTTGTTGGTTTTATGTTTTTTGTTTGTTAGTTTGTTTTTCCAATATGGAATATATTGAGTGGCACCAGAAAACTTGGCAGTGGCCTAAATGCATTGGGATTTGTTTTTCCTGAATGAGGACAAGTCTAGGGGCTGGGAAGTTCCAGGTTGGCACCTTGAGTTGGGGATGCCCTCGAGACTGCAGCTCCTCCGTCCTGCTCTGCACTTGGGCGTGTCCGCTTCAGGTCCTGAGATGACTGCTCCATCCGTGTCTCTGTTGGGAAGGCAGGAGGCTGCTTTCCCAGAGGTCAGCTGCTGGTCACAGCATGTGCATGAGGCCACAAACTCATTTTCTGCTAGGCACGCTGCCATGGTAGGCAGTGGGCCAGAAAGGAAAGTAGATGCTCAGAAGGAATTTGGCACGTCTGGTGCGTCATGCATGGATGTTTTGTTTTCATTTTCACCCAGTGGATGCATCTCTTCCTCGGGGTGAGAGGAGCATCCAGGTTGATCCTGATGTCCTGTCTGTCATGGAGCCTCAGCAGTTCCTGTCCCTAGGACATTTCCAGAGCTCCTGGACTCGGCCCAATACTCTGTCTTCTAGATGGTGCCACGGGAGCATTTGCTGGTCAGTTCAGACACAGCTTTCTTTGAAGCTAGTTGCAGTGCCTTTTCTGTTTTCAGTTTGTTTATTGCAGCCCGAGTTGTCAGTGTTTTCCCAAGCTAGAAATTCCAGCAAGCCTCAACCTCTTGGATGCCCGAGTTCTCTGTGGCAGGTTGTCATCAGCTGCAGTCCCCGGCACTGCAGCGTCTGGGCTGGACGCCCTCGGCCCCATGGACGATCAGCACACTGGTGCATCATGCTGGGGACTTCTGGCTGGTGTCCCCAGTTCCAGCCTGACTCTCGCACCTCTTGTGCTGGAGACCCATGCCACTCTAACTGCAGAGTCTGTCGGCCAGGTTCTGAATTGCCTCCATCCTTCCAGAGCCTGCCTTCCTGACAGCAGTCTTTACTACATGTTCATTCTCAGCGTGAACAGTCCATCTTCACTGATTCTCCCCTGCTTGGCTCCCTGTCCTTCACCAGTGATGGCCACGTCCTGCAGTGATCCTCCCCACCCCTGCCCAGCTGCAGCTCCAGATTGCTGCCCCCAGCCTGCCCCAACCTCACCACTCCAGAACCTGGCTTGCCTGGCTCTCAGATGTCTTTCTTTCACAACACTCTTTACAATTTCTGCCTATACGTATGAAGGGACTTAAAAAAAATGTACATGTCTTTTAATGACGTTTTTTATGAGCTCCTTGACACCTGCTGTGTTTCGTGTGTGCTGCTATCTAAAATGATGTTTTGAAGACTAGTATGATGTATTGAAAGATGCTGTGGAGTCAGGGATGGCCTGAACATTTCCTGAGTAAATGGATTTTACTTTCCAATAGGGCCATACATCTTTGAGTCTTTTATATTCCACAGATATGTGTAGTTAATGTTTTTGTTTGGGTTACAAACTAGTAGCTCTTGTGAGAAGACATACTGAAGATTTGCCTTTCCTTGGCAATTTCTAGTTTTCTACTGCCTTAAAAATCACTCTGTGCAGCTGACAATTAGCATTTTATCCCCCTTTGATTAATGTGTTAAAATGTTTTTTATGTAGTGCTTTAATAAATCTTCCAAATTGAACCCAGTGAGTAATGCTTATATATAAATTACATACAGAGAAATATACCTGTTTATCATGAATATACAGAACATGAATTTTCAAAACATTACATCACAAAAGTTCTCACAATTATTATTTAGTGCACATTTAATATGTTAATTTGCTTACTAGAAAGTGCAGTAATTTGAAAACAAGCTTGGGTTATACTTCTTTGTCAAGTTTTAAGTCCCAGGTTGTTTTTGGTTATTTTTGTCCTCCCCACCCACCAACTGTGGGTGAGAAGACAAGAGTGGCTGAAGATCAAGAAATAGTGATGTTCTTATCTGCTTGGCCTAATGTCATGTAAAATAGGGTCTTGCAGGACCAGAATATTTGGAGTTAGAAGAGTTCATATGAATTCTTTTTTCTATTTTGCGACTCATTAAATAGAATATCTTTTTGTTTGTTTGTTTCATTAAATAGAATATCTTCAATATCCTTTGTGCTCCTTTTGGATTTAGTTCACAGGTTATCTGTCACATCACTGGTAGATGAATATACAAGCATAATGCAATTTCTTTTATGTCTTAATGGCAATATGCTAATACACTTATAATCTCAAACATACTTATGTCTTCCATAATTGCATATGTATGTAACTAAGAGGTAAAGATACTGCTGCAGGTTCTTGAAACAAAGTCGCATGTAAATTCAAAGCTACCATGCAGCGCGCACACTGAAGAAGAGAGCAGGTAGTAGACATGAGAGAATGGTTGTTGGACTTGATTTTAGGTAGAATACCAGGTGAGGGAGACAGGACAGCATCATCGGTATAGTCACCACACAATGTTCGTAAGAATGAGAAAAGTTTTCATGTTAGCTGGAAATCATAACTTTGATGATCCTTTTGACTGCTGTCCAGTGACTTAGCGCCTTTTTTAAACAGTATTCTTTTGTCGCTTGGCTTCATAGATATTTTCTCCCAGATGTCAGATTCCAATGGTTTAATGATATTCAGCAAGTTTGACCAGTTCCTGAAGGAGGTTCTGAAGTTGCCCACAGCTGTCTTTGAGGGGCCGTCCTTTGGCTACACCGAGCACTCCGTCCGCACCTGTTTCCCACAGCAGGTAAGACCCTCATCCCCAACATCCCAGGCATCCTTCCACCTGTTCATAGATTCCAAGATCTGCATCCAGCCTTCACTGTTGGAGGAAAAGGAGCTTCAAGATGGGGAAGGGGCAGATGAACCTGACAGAAAGAAAAAACATTCACCTGAGAGTCTTATGTGGGGGCCACGAAGGACTCTTTTCTGAGAAACAAGACGACATTTAAATTTCAGACAAAAGTGTTTGGAGACTGTTTGCATTATGCTACTGGCTATAGATTGCTTTCCTAGTTGAGTTGCAGCTTGCAATGGTTTTTATGCACAACTCTGTAACAGTGCTGGGCCATTGCTTTCTGGGCACTGGAGGCCGGGAGCCCAGGCTTCTATGGGCACACGCTGAAGATGGGTTTGATCACCTCTTGGGGTCAGTGAGAGTGAATTCCTGAGGTCTTCATAGCACATCCCTGAGTAGACACTACAGTGAGGTACTTGTGAGGTAGAGATTGGAGAATCAAAGCTTAATCGAAGACCTGTGTTAAGATGAATGGGTAGAAAAAAAGCAATGGAAATAGGATATGAGAGTTGTTTAGAAGTGTGTACTGTAAGATAGTTATTGATTATGATGGGCAACAAAGTCCCTTTAATTTGGAGGGAGTTGCTAGACACCATCCTAGTCAGCTGAGTGACCCAAGCGCACATCCCCCTGAGGAAGGGCCAGCCTCCTGCCAGGATGCTCTGGGAAGTGCACAGCCCCACTTATCCACCTCCTGCCCCCAAACACAGGCCAAATCGGATCTCGAGGAAATGTCAGGCAAACCCAGAAGAACCGATTTCTACAACAAAGCTGGCCTGTGTTCTTCAAAATCAACAATGGCATGAAAGGCAAGGCTAGGGGAATGTTCAGGATGAAAGGAATCTACAGACATGTGCAGACAGAGTGCAGATCACCATCCAGGACTGCCTTTTGCATATGTTGGAAAAAATCCAAATACAGTTTGTAGACTGGAAAATAGTACCTCTCAATGAACTGTAACTTCCTGATTTTGGTCTTTGTATTTTAATTATGTCAGAAATGCCCTGGTTTTTAAGACTTTCCATCTGAAATGTTACAGTGTTAGCACTTGAAGAGTCTAGAAAGTTGGAATATTTCAGCAACCTTAATAAGCTTTCTGTAAGTCAGAAACTGTTTAAAAGTAAGAAGCCAGTTGTAGCACAGCACATTGAGCTGCTACTTATTGAAGTGCCTGGATTGAATCCTGCCTACTGCATACCTCTTACTCAGCTTCCTGCTTGTGCACCTGCAAGACAGCTGATGATGACCCAAGTGTTTGGGTTCCTGCCACCCATGTGCAAGACCCAGATTGAGTTCCTGGCTTCCAGCTTTGGCCTGATCTGGCCCTCGTTTTGGGAAGTGAATCATTGGATATAAGATGTCTCTCTGTTTCCTCATCACTTGGTTTTCAAATCAATCAATTAATAACTCTTAATAAATAAGAATTACAACTACCTCCACCATAGTGGAGAGGCATTGGACGTAATGGTTAAGCTGCTTCTTGACGTGCTCCTTCTTGTACTGGAGGGCTTGGGCTTGAGCTCGAGTACCAGCTCTGCTTCTGAAGCCACTTCTTACCATCGAGACCCTGGGAAGCAGCAGGTGTTGGCTAAAGGACTTGGTCTTGTTACCCACCGCAGAGACCCAGGATGAGTTTTGGCCTCCTGGCACAGGTCTGAATCAGCCCAGGTTGTTAAGGGTATTTGGGGATTGAATTGAAAATAGTCTCTCTCTTTTTCTCTCTCTGTGTCTCTTTCTCCCTTTCAAGTAAATACATAAGTAAACATTTTAAACATTTACAACAGGAAGAAATTTAAAAACCTGTAATACTTTGATTCATGAAAGAACAAACACACACAGCTGTTTTACATTTAAAGTTAGACATTTGATGCAGTGGCTAAATCCCTGCTTGGGATGTCTGCCTCCCATATCCACATTCCCAGATGGAGTCCCCACTGCCCCTCTTCTGATCCAGTTTCCTGCTGGTATGTGCCCTGGGAGGCAGTAGTAGTGGCTCGCGGCCTTTCACATACCGTGTGTCTAGAGATCAAGCTGAAAACAGATCAAGTTCTGAAATGCTACTCTAAGCAATGTTGATGGGGAAGGGAATTTATCTAGAGAATTGTTCGTGAAGAACAGCGACTGACAACCATGTGGAGCACCAGACCTTACATATTCTTTGACTCAATTATAACGATACTGTGATCGGTAAAAAATGTTAAAAAAAGATTAAACTGTGGTTTTTTTTATTGATTGCATTGCATTATGTGATACAGTTTTATAGGCACTGGGATTCCTCCCACCCCTCCCCAACCCACCCCCCCATGGTGGATTCCTCCACCTTGTTGCATTACAACAGGTCAAATTCAGTTGAGATTCTTTCCTTGCAAGCATCTACCAAGCATTAAGTCCAGCATCTTATTGTCCAGATAATTTCAACGGTTTCTTGGGGAGACCATTTCTGATCTGAGGGCAGAGCCGGCAGAGTATCATCCCGATCAATTAAAAGCCCCGACACAACATCAGTAACAATTTATAACATTATGGAATTAGTTGACATGGTATTGAGTAACCAATATGTTAAAAGAGAAAAAAAAAAAAAAGAATGCAAGTTCTGAACCACAACCTGTGACTTCTACATTGACATTTCACTTATAAGTTTATATTACAACCGAGTTCTATACACCTTAAAATGGCTATAGATTACTATTCAGCTGTCTCATGTCTATTTTAATTTTAGTATTTAGCAGTTTATAGCGTTGAAGCATGATTTTGCTGAACCTGGCTGTTTTCGGGTAGTCTAACTCTATAACTCTAACAAGACATATGTCAACAGTTTTAGGAGGGGTGTGCAGAGAAATCTTCAATACCCCAGTGAGGAGTAACTAATCTCTGTGTCCCACCCAGTGAGTTATAAGTGCATCCCTGTTGACCATTTCCTGTCTGATTCCAAGCCTTCCTTGTTGTTCTCTATCTGTTCTAGATTTTTTGTTTGTTTGTTTGTTTTGAGGGGTTTCTGGAGCTATCCTGATGGTCATTACGAGAGAGGGTGGGGACCCAAAGTCGGAACCAGGCAAGGACCAGAGAAAGTTCCTCTCCCTAGTCCTGAAGGAAGTTTACTGTTCTGTTTCTGCAGACTGCTCAGTGCTCCTGGTTGTCGTTCCGATGACCTTGGATCCTGCAAGGCAGGATTTGGGCTTCTTCCATCCCATGTGGTAGATCCAAATGGGGGTGGGTGACCTCAGAGTTCTCGGCCTCCGAAGGCACTCCAATTCCCTGTGGTCTCCTTAGCAGTTGGGATGTAGACCTCGGTGCTCATACTGATAATCCTTGGTGGGGATCTGGGAGTCTTCAGGGTTGGGATACAAACCTCCTCCTGTCTGCCTGCTCCACTCTGGGGTCCCCCTTGCTCTGTGCATATGACCTCCTGTTAAGAGGTTGTTAGGATCGCTCTTGATTCCCCCCATATGCCTTTGTAGTTTTGCTATTGTCTAATGCTGATTTGAGTCTGTTGTCTATGAGTTACCAGTTATGATCCTGACAGGTTATACTTCCTGTCTTCCTCACACCTTCTAGGTTTTAAAGATTTATTTTTACTGGAAAGTCAGATATACAGAGAGGAGGAGAGACAGAGAGGAAGAAAATCTTCCGCCTGTTGATTCACTCTCCAAATGGCTGTAACAGCTGGAGTTGAGCTGATCCAAAGTCAGGAGCCCGGAGCCTTCCATGCAGGTGCAGGGTCCCAGGCTTTGGGCCATCCTCGACTGCTTTCCCAGGCCACAGGCAGGGAGCTGGATGGGAAATGGAGCCACTGGGATTAGAATCGGCATCCATATGGGATCCAGGCGCATGCAAGGTGAGGACTTTAACCGCTAGGCTACCATGCCGGGCCTTGGTTCTTCTTTTGTATTTAAAAGGCCAAGTTAGAGAGGGGGGAGACAGCGAGGGCTCTTGGATCCATTGATTTACTTCCCAAATGGCCACAATGGCTAGAGTTGTGCCAAGATGAAGCCAGGAGATTTTTCTAGAGCTTCCCCATGGGGGCAAAGGCTCAAGCACCTAGGCCCCCCCGTCCCTGCCTTCACGGGCACGTTAGCAGGGAGCTGGGTTGGAAGTGGAGCAGCCAGGACCGCCACGCCACAGCACCAGTTCCCAGTTGTTAATTCTTAAAGACGCTGTCTGTTATTCTGCTGATTGCCCTGACAGCATGATTGTGATGTCTTGGAATTTACAACCTGATGACTTGCACCTGCTTCAGACTCCTGTGGCATAATCTAGCTGCATTTTGATAAATAACATTTTTGCAAAAGCAGAGAAAGTTCAGTCTATAGAAGCTTGAGTTTTCTGAAGTCCATGGAGATGATATAAGCAAGAAGAAATCATCCTCATGGGATAACCAGAAGCTGTGAGCTTGCCAGGACTGAGCTCCACGCAGCAAGAGTTGCAGTCAGAGTTTGGAGAAGTGCGTTCTCTCAAAGCAGGCTTTCCCTGTGTGGTTTGTACCTTGGAGTGACTCGTAGACCATCGCATAGGGAATAGCACCAGCTCAGAGTGGGCATCGCCTTGCTGCCTCTTACCCATGGCCTCCCCTGGCGTACTGAACCAAGAGATCAGAATTGCATAGAAATCAAGGGTGTTTTCTGAAGAAGCTGAAAAAATCGTGCAATACCTTCGTTGTGTAAAAGAGGGAGCTGGTTGGGAGGATTCTCCTTTGTGATGATGGTGAAGGAGAGGAAGCTGTGTGAAAAAGCCAAGTAGACAGATTGGAATGATGGAACTTGTGACCCTTGGCCTTGGTACGGAGTTTTGATGCAGCTGCATCTTGTCACCTCCGATTTCAGGCTGGCAGATGTCGTCTTCCCTGGGGTGGTGTCAGTGGTCTAGGCACCTGCTAAGATGATCATCAAGACCTTGTGCAGAATGAAATGATAAAATGTTAAGTGGAAAAACACAGATGATGTGTTTGAATCTATCCCATCTTCATTATTATATAGGAATATACTTAAATCTGAAGGGAAATAGAAGTGAACATGATGTGACTATTCATTATTTACATCTTTATGTTAGTGTTATAATCATCATTGTGGTATAAAAAATGAGGAGGAGTGCAAGGAGAGTAGTAACAAAGCCACGGGATGGAGGAGGAGAGAACCAGGCTGCCTTTGTGAGATTGTTTACTGAGATTTATTAATTATCTGCAAGCATTTCTCAAAATGCTTCATCACAGGGCAGCTTTATGCTTTGAAAATTAAACTCCAAGGAGTTTTTCTTTATATGGTTTATATCTGTCACTGTTTCTATATTAGAAATTGAGATTGCAAAGTTTAAAAAATACTGTTATTGGGCCCGGCATGATAGCCTAGTGGTTAAAGTCCTTGCTGTTCATGCACCAGGATCCCATATGGGCACTGGTTTTAATCCCGGCGGCCCCACTTCTCATCCAGCTCTCTGCTTGTGGCCTGGGAAAGCAGTCAAGGACGGCCCAAAGCCCTGGAACCCTGCACCCATGTGGGAGACCTGAAAGAGGCTCCTGGTGTCGGATTGGCTCAGTTTTTGCTGTTACGGCCACTTGGGGAATGAATTAACACATGGATGATCTTCCTTTCTGTCTTTCCTTCTCTCTGTATATCTGACTTTGCAATAAAAATTTAAAAATCTTTTAAAAATGTATTGTTATTAAAAATACTAGTCATAACATAAATAGCATTTTTATGAAAGTGACTATAGACTCTGGAGCAAAAATTTAGTGAGAAGAACGCCACTTTTTTTATAGTGCTTGGCTCAATGGGAGAGAATTGGATTCTCGTGTGTACCGACCCATCAAATCTATTGTGGTACACTATTTTTGTTAAAGTATTTAAGTGGAAAATCTGAGGGCCGGTATTGTGGTAGAGCAGGCAAAGCCACGGCCTGCAGTGTTGCCATCCTCTATGGGCTGCAGTTCCTATCCCAGCTGCTCCATGTTTGATCCAGCTCCCTGTTCAATAACTGCTTGGGAAAAGCAGTAAAGGATGCCACCCACGTGGGAGACCCGGATAAAGCTTGTGGCTTTGGCCTGGCCCATACCTGGCTGTTGTATCCATCTGGGGAGTGAACCAATGTGAATGGCAGTTCTCTCTCTCTCCCTCTCTCTCTTCCTCTTTTCCTCTCTCTGTGATAGTAACTTTAAATACATAAATAATGTGGTTTTGGTTTTGTTTCAAAGAACAAAGCCTGGCCTTTCCCAGGTCCGCAGCTGGAGAGAGGGAATTCTTTGGGCGTTTTTAGATCACTGTGGCCGGGTCACATGCCCTGGAAAGCCCCTCCATGCTCTCATGTGAGAGTTAACACTGAAGAGTGGAAGGGAGTGTCATGAGAATTGTTTTGGGACTCCTTGGAAATGTTTAGGGACCTCCCAGGTGCCTGCTAAATAACCATACTTTGAAAATCCCTATTGTAGCCATTGAGAGATAGATTTAAAGCAAAAAAAAAAAAAAACAGAATTGTGTTTTCCCCAAGTCCCAGGGGTGGTCGCAGACAGAACTGGGCCTGAGCTCTTTGCTGTCACTTTCCCTGTTCTGGCGGGCTCAGCCTGTGGGGGAGTTCTTTACAAACTGAGCCCCCATGTCTGGGGGAGAACCCTCTGGAATCTGTTCTGTTTTCGTCTTGAAGATTTAAAGAATTTCCCTGTGGTAGATTCATCAAAGCACTTCTGAGAATGCACTGTTATGGTCATAAGTGGATTTGTAAAAAAAACAAAACAAAACATAATTTTTTAACAAAAATTAAGACTACCAAGATCCAAACATAGGCTTTTGCTTTGCACTTCTCATTAACTAAAAATAATAACATAATAATTACAGCATCTTTTTCTCAGTAATTTAAAACAGATATTTTGGTTGATTGGGGACTTTTTCGTCCACCCTACAAGGCGCCGTCCACATCTAGTCCTCCAAGCAATCATTTGGCAACCTTCTGGTTTCCCGCGTCGTTCATTCACTCCCCGTGGAATCAGAGATCTCCCGGGCAGGAGGGACTGGGCCAGGCAGCGTGCTGACTGCCTCTTCCTCAGCCTGTATGCCCAGGTGATTCTCTCCCAAGGTGCCACGAGGTCTAGGGGCCCCACACACGAGGACTCCGTGACACTGTGCACCCTGACAGTCCTACTGCTGCTGCCCATCAGTGCCAGCCTGGTCCAGGCGAGCCTGCCCTCGGTCAGCTCCATCGCTGCCAGGTTGCTGTTGTGAAGCTTATGCTCAGCCTGTCCTTTATCTCCTTTCTGCTCCCTACTTCCCAGTTTCTCCTTTTGAAGATTTTTTCAGTAAGCATGACTGAGTGTAACTCTGTCAGGGTCAAGATTCCCCCAGCTGCCAGAAAGATGCAGCAGTGGGTCTGCATGGCCTTGGATTTCACATGATGAGCCAGTGGTGGTGGATGGGGCGGCAGCCTCGAGGGTTCTGTCCCACACATTCCCTCCCTCCTTGTTTCCAGTGTGTATTGCAATGATTACAGGTTAAAAAAAAAAAATCGGAAGAAATCAGGCCCGGTGACGTGGCCCAGCGGCTAACGTCCTCGCCTTGAATGCCCCGGGATCCCATATGGGCACCGGTTCTAATCCCGGCTGCTCCACTTCCCATCCAGCTCCCTGCTTGTGGCCTGGGAAAGCAGTCGAGGACGGCCCAAAGCCTTGGGACCCTGCACCCATGTGGGATACCCGGAAGAAGTTCCTGGATCCCGGCTTCGGATTGGCACAGCACCGGCCGTTGCGGTCACTTGGGGAGTGAATCATCGGACGGAAGATCTTCCTCTCTGTCTCTCCTCTGTGTATATCTAACTTTCCAATAGATAAATAAATCTTAAAAAAAAAAAAAGAAAGTTACTTTATAATCATCTGGCAAAATCTTCTAAGCAGTTTTATATTTTCTACTTTCTCTTAGTGAATTAACATCTTTGGGGGAAACATTCATATTTTTAGGTTTTTTTTTTTTTTACATTAAGAGAAGTGGTGGTACTGAGAACAGTCATACAAGGCTGGCTGCAGCCCCAACTCTGGCTCACACTGGGCCAAGGTCACCAAGGAGGCCACATCCCACATTGCGCGGCCCTGTGTGTGACCCTTGAATTGGGGAACAGTGCCCTGGGGTCAGTGCTGCAACCCCCATGTCAAGCTGGCTGCACTTTGTGGTACGCACCTGCTGCCTGTGCCAGGGAAGCTGGGAAGGCATTGGGTGGGTTAGAAAAAAAAAAAAACTGAATTCATCTGAAATATTTGTGGAGAAAACTGATCTGCATCAAACCTATTTCTGTGTTATCTTTCTGTACTTTCTAATTCCCCTCTACCCATCTGGGAAGCTGACTGTCTATTGAGAAAACTAGAACAGCGGCACATGGGCAGTCTGACTGGAGAGATAGTGCAGCAGAGGGCACTGTGGTGGGCATTCTGTTCTCTGACTCACCCCCCAAGTGACCGCAGCGGCTGGAGCTGAGCCTATCTGAAGCCAGGAACCAGGAATTTCCTCTGGGTCTCCCATGTGGGTGCAGGGTCCCAAGGCCCTGGGCCATCCACCACTTTCCCAGGCAACAAACAGGGAACTGGATGGGACAGAGAGCAGCTGGGATGTGAAACAGTGCCTGTATGGGATTCTAGGGCATGCAAAGTGAGGACTTTAGCCATTAAGACCCCCAAGATAAAAAATGTGTGAAAACATTAAAAAAATAAATAAAGGGATGCAGCAAGTTAACCTGTCCCAAGATCAGAGTTTGAATCCTGGCTGTTCTACTTTTGATCCAGCTCCCTGAGAAAAGCATGAGAAGATAGTGCAAGTACTTGAGCTCCTACGTGGGAGACCAGGGTGGAGTTCCTGGTGTCTGACTTTAACCTGGCCCATTCCTGGGCTGCCACATCCATCGGAGGAATGAAATGAGCTATTGTGGTGGAAGATCTCTATTAGTATGCCTTTCAAATAAAGAAAATAAGCCAATCAATTTTTTTTAAAGTTCAAAAAACATAATCCATGTAGAAATGTGGTTGAACATAGTAGCAGTATGGTATGGTATGTTGTAGAGTGATAGAAAAGATTTTTAGCTTGCTGTAAAGTACCACATGGCTGGGAGACTCTGGATGTTAATATAAGCACTGCGAGTCATTGCGAGAGATAAAGCGTTCTTGTTTCTGTTCTCTTCACAGAAGAAGGTCATGCTCAACATGTTCCTAGACACCATGATGGCCGACCCTCCCCCGCAGTGCCTTGTCTGGCTGCCTCTCATGCACAGGCTGGCGCACGTGGAGAATGGTGAGCGGCTGTCAGTCCCCCATCGCGTGGGAGGCGTCGGGGCTGCTGGTTCACGGTGCCCACTGCTGTCGCTCTGGAACATGGTGGCTGACACCTGCCACCATAGGGTTTTAGCTTTCAAAGATGGGATGTTTCTTCCTTTAAAAAGCAGATGACTGTTACATAGGAAAGGCAGATTTCAGAGAGAGGAGAGAGAGAAAACACTTCCATCCACTGGTTCGTTTTCTAAAAGGGCCCCAGGCTTTGGGCTGCCATCCACTGGTTTTCCAAGCTTGGAGGTGGATGGGAAGTGGAGCAGTTGGGACACAAACCGGCACCCAAATGGGATGCTAGTGCTTACAAGTAGAGGATTAGTCAATTGAGTCATTGCGTAAGCCCCCAAAAGCAGAATTCTGAAATGATAGCTATACATACTACCAGTCATTAAAACTGTAATGATTTAAAAATGGCAAAGATCACAGGGGCCAGCGCAGTAGCCTAGCGGCTCAAGTCCTCGCCTGGCATGCACCGGGATCCCATTTGGTCACCAGTTCATATCCCAGCTGCTCCATTCCCTTCCAGCTCCCTGCTTGTGGCCTGGGAAAGCAGTAGAGGATGACCCAAAGCCTTGGGTTTCTGCACCCACATGGGTGACCCAGAAGAAGCTCCTGGTTCCTGGTTTCAGATCAGCTCATCTCCTGCCATTGTGGCCACTTGGGGAGTGAACTAGCAGATGGAAGATCTTTCTGTCTGTCTTCTTTCTGTAAATATGACTTCCCAATCAAAATAAATAAATCTTAAAAAAAAAAAAATAGCAAGGATCTAATTTAGTTCTGGGTTTCACATGTCTTGTGGTTTACTTTTAGTTTTTCCCTTTTTTTATTCTTTTACCTGGAAGCTACTCTGGTCTGGTGTCAGTAATTGCCTGAAGTCCTTATTTCACTTTGAATGGGAACAGCAGTTCTTAGAAGTACACGTCAGTCTGCCAGCCCTGTCAGCTCCTTGCTGATTTGGGCCGACTGAGTGGCTGGAGGCAGGCCGGAGCTCCTGGCTCTCTGCTCTCCGTGGGACCAGGTGAGGGCCAGCCAAGGAGCTGTGGCAAGCACAGCCCCCTAGTTAACCTCGTGAAGAGGAGGTCGAATCCCATGTTCTTCTCTTTTTCTACTCCTCCGGTCTTTTTTTTTTTTTTTTTAATTGTCAACCTTTTGCCCAACTATGACTCAATTTAACAAGGACCTCAGATCCAGGATTATTCTTTTACAGGACCAGAATCTTTTCATTAGAGTGAGATAATTAGATTTCTTAACAGGCTTTTTGAACAAGAATTTAAAATTATGCTTTTTCTTTTTTTTTTAAGATTTACTTCTTTTTATTTGAGAGGCAGACTTCATAAAGAGGAACTCTTATCTGCTGGTTCACTCCCTAAATGGCTGCAGTGGCCAGAGCTGAACCAATCCAAAGCTAGGAGCCAGGAACCTCCTCTGGGCCTTCTACATGGGTGCTTTCCCAGGTCTTAAGCAGGTCTTAAGCTGGATTGAAAGTGGAGCAGCTAGGACACAAATTGGTACCCATAAGTGTGCCAGTGCTGCCAACCCATGGAGGATTAGCTTGATACACCACCATACCAGTCCTAGATTATAAATTTTTATGGTATTCCTGGTTCCTCTAGGGACAGTGCTTTGAAAACCTTGGCTGTTCATATCCAGCTTCTTTTCATAAAAGCATTTTATATTTGTTGCACAGAATAAATCTCATTTGTCCATAGGTATCAACATCTATCTATGGATGTCACTTTACATGCAGAATATCACTTATGGATTATAGTCTTATGTTGTTAGTGGTATTAGTTTGCCCAAAGAAATAAGCATGGTGCAGTCATTCAAATACCTAGAAGGCGTGTTGCCTCTCCTGTTAGCACTTGTATGATTTTTTTATGGTGGTAAATGCATTAAAAGTTATGGCATGTCTGGTGTTTTTGTTGTTATTGTTGTTAGGGTTGTTTTTTTGTTTGTTTGGTTTGGTTTTTTTGCTTTGTGTTTTTTTGTTTGGATCCTTCCCCTGAAATTTGTCACTTGACATGTACTAAGGGATAGGCAGTTTAGCTTAAGAGTTTAGACAACCGTATCACACATCCAGTTTCCTTGGTTTTACACCTGCTCTGGTTCCCAGCTCCAGCTTTGTGTGGATGCAGACTCTAGGGGACAGCAGTGTTGCTGAGATAATCGGGTTCCAGTCACCTTTATCGGAGACCTGGATTTTGTCCCTGGCTCTCACCATTGGTCCCCCTATCCCCACCCAGCCCTGGATGCTGTAGACATTAGAAACATGAGCCAGTGGCTGGAAGCACACTTTCTCTCTCTCTGCCTGTAAAATACTATTTTTTGAAATTGAAATATCTGGCATTTGGATTAAGATGTACCTTGGGGTGCCAGTGTCTTATATAGGAGTACCTGGGTGAGAGTCCCAGCTTCACTTCCATTCCAGCTTCCTGCTGATACACACCATGGGAGGCAGCAGGTGGCGGCTAAAGTACTCAGGTCCTGCCACCCATGTGGGAAAACTGGATTGAGTTTTTGTGTCTTGGCTTTGGCCCGGCCACAGCTGCTTTAGGCATTTGAGGAATGAACCAGTAGATGGGAAATTTTCTTCTGTCTCTCTCAAACCCTCACTGGCCTTTCAAAACAAAAAGGAAGAAGAAATGTGTTGAAATTACTATTCATGATCTGCTTGAGCATAAATGTTACCCTTTCCCCCCTACTTTTCCTGTTGCTTTGATCAACCAAAGAAAGCCAGCAGTGTGCTGCCCCTCCCCACGGCCCCCCACCCCAACCGCTGCCCCTTCCCCTAGCTGGGGTACTTGAGGCTGCGCTGTTGCCCTGGCCTAATATTTCTGGCCGCATATTTCTCTTGCCACTGTTGTTAGTGCCCAGATGTATGGTGGTACTTAACTCAGCAGACCTTAGTCCAGGCCACTTAGCATAAACTACACTCTCCTGGCTCTGTGGGCAGGGAAGGAAGCAAATATATACCCAAGCAGCAGGAGCAGGCCTGGTTCTCGTGGCCCTCAGCCATCAGTGAGGGAGGGCCTGCCTCTGACACCCACACAGCTCTTTAAAGTGACAAGAGGTTCTGGAAAATGTGGACCAATGAAGATACCTCATGTTGGCAAGATTCCTTACTTGTACGTGTTTATCTGCATTTGGAGAAATGAAGAGCTGCATTTTAAAGAAACAAGCTGATTCCCAGTGAGATGGCCCTGGAATGTCATATTTTACATGGATCTTTTTGATTAAGTCATTCGATCAATGATTAGACTGACATTTTAGATTTCCTTCAGCTTGCCTTTTCTTTTGTATTAGATGTGGTTGATTTTCTTCTCCAAATGAAATAATGTCTCCCCCCCATCCCGCTCCTCCCCTTCCCTCCCCTCTCCCACCGGCAAGTCTTCCACCCCGTGGAGTGCTCCTACTGCCGCTGTGAGAGCATGATGGGTTTCCGGTACCGATGCCAGCAGTGCCACAACTACCAGCTCTGCCAGAACTGCTTTTGGCGTGGCCATGCCAGTGGCAACCACAGCAACCAGCACCAGATGAAGGAGCACTCATCTTGGGTAACTGCTTTCTCTTTGTCCCTGTCCCTGGCTGTCCCTCGTCTGATCGTCCAGCACAAGCTGGCCTCCTGGCAGATGCCTACAAATAAGGAGGTGCTGCAAAGTGCCCCTAGGGGCATGGAGCAGAGCTAGCGGGATGCCTGCTTTCTCAGTTGGTTTTAGGAGCAGATTTTTAAAGACTGGAGAATTTTAAAGAGTTGGAGATATTGTTGTATCTGGAACAGGCCCTTTCAGTAAAGTGGAATGTTACGATGCTACTTTTCCAAAGTCACAAGTAATTGCCTTCTTGTTTTGAAATTGTGCAATAGATGGACCCCCCCGGAGTTAACAAAAGCAGCGTGTTCAATTACCATTGACACATTGGTGTCCTTGCATATCAGTTTTTAAAAATATTTTCTTTATTTTTATTAGAAAGTCAGATTTACAGAGAGGAGAGACAGAGAAAGATATTTACCCACTGGCTCATTCGCCAAGTGGCCACCACGGCCTGAGCTGAGCTGATCCAAAGCAAGAAGTCAGGAGCTTCTTCCGGGATCTCCCACATGGGTGTGTAAATCCCAAGGCTTTGGGCTGTCCTCTATTGCTTTCTCACAAGCAAGGAGGTGGGAGGGAAGTAGGGCAGCTAGGACACGAATCGGCACCAATATGGGATCCTGGTGCATACAGGGTGAGGACTATGGCCACTAGGCTACTGCACTGGACTCTGCATATTAATTATTTTTTAAAGAACAGTATTTGAGTAGAAATCCATGGCTGATTTTTTTCCTTTAGTTATCAGTGGTAGCAGGTTTATCAATGATTTTTCTTTTCAGTTTATTTCTAGAGTTCTTAGAATGCCATTAATATCCCTTCCTATCCCTCAAAAAAAAATAGTTCCCATAACCTTTGTTTTAAAACCATTCCTCTAGTTTTATTATTGTTAGTGGTGGTGGTGGTTGTGGTTTGTTGATTTGCTAAAGGATGAAAAATACACAGGATCAGAACTATCATTCAGGGTTTAAGTCCTTAATCCTGCTGGACTTCAGGGCTTTAATAACTTCTTTTTCTTCCCTTTCACTCTTTTAGAAACTCAAGCAGGCTACAGCAGATAAGCTGTTTTCATTAAAGAGAAAACAACAAATTTTGACCTACATGACATTTGACTTCCTATGTCTTTGAACATGTGTTGGAGATTTAATTTTTAGTTAGGTTTTCAGTTATATCTAGTTATAAAGTTTTATGAAACTGTAATCCTATCCTAGATCTTATTATATTGCAGATTCTAATACTTTTTTTGGAAGTTGAGAAGTCAATTCTTTTTAGAGATTTATTTATTTATTTTTACTGCAAAGTCAGATAAACAGAGAAGAGGAGAGACAGAGAAGATATTCCGTCCGATGATTCACTCCCCAAGTGACCACAACGGCCGATCCTATGCAGGTCCTGAGCCAGGAGCCAGGAGCTTCTTCCGGGTCTCCCATGTGAGTGCAGGGTCTCAGGGCTTTGGGCCGTCCTTGACTGCTTTCCCAGGCCACAAGCAGGGAGCTGGATGGGAAGTGGAGCAGCCGGGATTAGAACCGGAGCCCATATGGGATCCCAGTGTGTTCAAGGTGAGGACTTTAGCTGCTAGGCCATCATACTGGGCCTGAGAAGTCAATTTTTAAATCCTTCTTTTTACTGTATTATTATTTTTCTCTTTTTCGTTGAGTACAGAGAATGTAAAGGTGTCAGATTTGTCACGTTTCCCTTGCTGGGAGTGCCTACCCGCGTTAGTAGACTTGTGAAGATTTCTTCCTCTTTTTTTTTTTTTTTAATAGAATCTCTTAACTGAGGTCATTTTTTCATCTATTACCTTTCATAGATCTGCTGCTTCTGGTTAAAACTTTCATTCGAGACACGGGACCCAGAAGAATGAGGAACTTTTTGTGGTTTTTAGTTTGAATTTGCTCAGTGAACTGTTTCATAACCTTTTTGAAGCTGAGCAAGAATTTTACAGTTTGAAGATAAGTGCCTGACTCGCTTATGATTTGCAAAGCACGTGCCGTGTCCCTTAGTAAGTTTTCCCATTGCCTTGTCGCATGAGTGTGGACGAGTACACAGGTCACAGTGAGATCTTGTTTAGTCTCTTGCTGATCTCACGAGTAGGTCTTTTTCCATTCGTTATTTTGATTTCAGAGTTGTTACATTTTGGGAGCTGTATCATCAGCATGCGTCATTTTGAGGCTGGCGTCGTAGTAATGGTGGCATTTGGAATTTGGATGTGTGTAGTCATTGTGTACAGAGTTACTTCAAGTTCATGGGAAGTTGAATAAACAGTTTTCTTTTGGTGCAAAAAAATATCTGAAACTGTACATTGGTTTTTCACAGTACTCATTTTCCTTGAGCTTTTTGAAGACCCTTTCAATGTATTGATTCCAAAAATCTTTGCATCGAAATAATGCTGTTTTTAACTTGTGTTTTCCACAGCTGTTTTAAAGTATCCTTGTATGGTAAATACATACTTGTATGGTTCTTTAGCTGCGTGTGACTATATGTAACTTGTTTTTAAAAATGAGATCTTTTATATATAGTATGCTTAATTTAGAAAAAAATTACTTATTTAAAAGAGTTTGAGAAATAGAGCTTTTGTGCACTGATTCACTCCCCAAATGACAACAGTGAGCAGGGTGAGGCCAGGCCCAAGCCAAGAACTTCAGCTAGGTCTCCTGTGTGGGTGCAGGGGCTCAAGCATTGGGCCATCTTCTGGTTTTCCCAGGTGTGTTAATAGGGAGTTGGGTTGTAACTGGAGCAACTGAAAGTCAAACCAATGCCAGTATGGAATGCCAGTGTCAGAGTTAGCATTTTTACCTGCTAGCCACGACACTAACCCACCTTTGCTTTATTTTTTCAAAGATTTATTAATTTTTATTGCAAAGTCAGATATACAGAGAGGAGGAGAGACACAGAGGAAGATCTTCCATCCAATGTCCAATGATTCACTCCGACTGCAACAGCCGGAGCTTCGCCGATCCGGAGCCAGGAGCTTTTTTGGGTCTCCCACGTGGGTGCACAGTCCCAAGGGTTTGGACTCTCCTCGACTGCTTTCCCAGGCCACAAGCAGGGAGCTGGATGGGAAGTGCAGCAAACTGGGATTAGAACCGGTGCCCATATGGGATCCTGGCATGTTCAAGGCAAGAACTTTAGCCACAAAGCCACTGCACCGGGCCCCCACCTTTGTTTTTTAAGGAAAATATGCATGAATTTTGAGGCCAAGTAGAGGTTCCTACCTTAAAAATAGAGGTGTCATCTGAATAATAGTAATGTCTGTGAGAATTGTTCACTGCATTTGTGCTACTATTTTGAAGGAATGTTGGTTTGTTTGTGCCAGATGATTGTAATATGTTTCATGAACATATGTGCATGAATTGCATTGCAGATTTTATGTATGTAGTATAGAATACTTGGAGATTCACTCTAACCTTTCCTACAAGTTTCTGTTAAATGCTTTATCTAGGTATCACGATTCTTCTAGTCTTCAGTCCATTTAGTTTGCTTACAAAAAAAAAAAATAGAACAGTTAAGATTCATTCTGTTTCATCCATGGAAAAGATAATCTTTGAGTACTTACTCTGTGCCAAGTACGTAGGACCCAGATTTAGACAGACCAGACAGAGGTTCCCACCCTTGTGGGCCATGAATGAGAGCGGGTGGGCTTGGCCAGTTGTTGCTGAGCTTCTGGACTCCATTTCCCAGCAGCCTTTTGTCTCAGTGGGGTCATGTGACAGATTGTCCCTGACTTCTGTGAATAGCTGCATGTATCTTCCCAGAGGAGGTAGTGAATAGAAGGGTACTTTCTCTGTATTGTCACCTTGATGGAGAGAAGAATCCCATTGGGACCCAGAGGATGAAGATCCTAAGAAGAAGGAAAATTGGGTCCTTGAAGGCTCTATTAATTGCTTGACTGTGATAGGAGCAGATCCAAACTTTGTATTATAAGTTTCTAAAGATTTAGTTTTTGCTCTAGTTCCAATGCTTGAAAGACCCCTGATGAAACCTTAACATTTGTGGCATTAATATAGCATTCAGGTGATACACTGAGGAGATTGATACTGAAAGTAGGGGGAGACAGAAATATGTGTTATGTGGTGGTGACCCATTTGGTAGTGTGTCACCCATGATGGCTTGGCAGGGACACTTCCTACCAGCTGAGCCATCAGTCAGCCCTTGGGAGGGATCCAGGCATGAGGCTGTTGACAGCAGGATGTCACAAGAAAAAGATGAGTTTCAGAAAGAATGGGCTGGTTTGCACACAAAGAGGGAAAGGAGACAGAAGCTTGTGATACCTGGGTCAGTGAAAGAGGAGACTGACAGCTTCTAGATCCTGGAGAGTGAGAGGTAAATGGAGACAGGCCCTAAGCTAATGTTCCCATTTGGAAGGATGGCTCATCCCGGGGCAAGGGTCAGATGAGGGTTATGGGCTCCTGTCCCTGGCTGCTTGCCAGGATCCCTCAATCCCAGCTCTGGAGCTTCTGATCTGCTGGCCCAAGGCATTTTAAACCTGGGCACTGATGGCTTCTAGATGTCGCCCTGAGTGATCATGCCATGCAGCCAGCGTGGGGACTGCTGACCTTGTTGATTTACATGGCCTCCAGGTGTCTGGAATTAGTTGAAAGCCAGTTGCATGGAGGTAAAGGAGTGAATCAGGCTGGAAGATTGTGCCCAGGCAAGAGTGTTATGTCATGCTGGCATCTGGAGCTGGCTGGAAACAATTAGATCAAAGACCTACTATGGCTCTGAGGGAATTACGTGGGCACAGAGCCCATGAATCTGGACTGAGCAAGCTGTTGATTGAGCCATGAAACCAATAAAGAAAAAAAAATAGAACTATCAGAATTTTCTCTGGCACAGAGGGTTGACAGGTTGTGAAGGTCATGCAGCCCCCAGGACAGGTCAGAGCACACTTGGCTGACATGACTGTTGGGTGACAAAGAAAGTCTTGCTTCTTCCCGTCCACTACTGCATATTGGGTGGGAAGGAAAGGA